CTAAGTTTGGCCAAAACAAGTCGCCGCTTGGGGAACGGACTCGCCACCGCGTCGTCGTACGCCGACACCGCTGAGCCAGCTGGCTGAGCAATCATCATGCCCGAATCCACCACATGCAATGAAGGGTCAGCAGGTCAGAGCCCGCATGCCGTTCAACAGACTACCTACACGCAAGAAAGCAATTACGGTTAATTGTCTGTGTGTTTGCAGTAATGACTGTACACTATAAATGCGGCAAGCTCCTGTGTATACGCTACCTGAATCTGCTACTGAACTTTGATTATGTCTCTGATGATGAATCCACGACGGATCTCGAAACTTCAGGCGAATAAAAGTGTTGTCCCAGCGATCGAGTCGTCTTCTTTTTAGTATAACTATAGCTACTACTCCTCTTAATAGCTCGATAACTACTACTCCAGCAACACCACCAATGACCCTACTACTAATACTACGATTCCTACCCCTACAGCTAATACTCATCTCAATACAATTAATACAATTAATATTACAATCAGCACCACTATCACTACCTCTACTACAAATATAGTAAATGAAAGGCCGCATGCCTCCCAACTGGCTTTCGCAGGCGTTTACTGCACAGGTTCTCTCCCACCAGCAGAAAACTCAATATGAGACAAAACTGGCCACCTTGTGAAGCTCGCACCAAAAGTAGCAAAGAGTAGCGAACTAACAAGCAGCACAATCAGCCCTTTTCCATCAGGGGCAGCATTTCCAGGAGTTGGCGCCGAAATCACCGCGACAGCAGAGTTGACCGGCCGAGCAGATAGTCAAGCCGTCCGGACAGAGGCGGATGTCATCAGCGAGGGTCTTCTTGACAGAGTCCCAGGGTTGAGTCTCGGCTAAGTCCAGGACGCAGGCATCTTTGCCGCAGCTGTAGCCACGGGGACAGCAGTGCCCACCATCTGCACAGCAGTGGCCCTAGAAGGCGGCAGAGAGAAGACGAGGAATGAAATAGGCATGTCCATGATTAAGAACTGGGAAAAAACCGACAGATTCATTGATGTCTCATCAAAATTCGAAGTTGGCGTGCGTAGTGTTTCAAGTATTCAAAAACACAGCAGTAAAACGTCAACGTACCACCATCACCATTATTATTACCACTATTACTAATACTACTACTGTATCAGCTGTCACAACAGCAACTACCATACCTGCCACTACTACCACTACCAACACTATCATTACCAGCAATACTACTACTACCAAAAACATTACTACTATTACTACCACAGTCACTACTACTAATGCTACCATTACTACCACCACTACTATCGCTACTAATTCCACTACTAAGACTGCTGTCAATCTACTGATAATACAACTATTACTACGACTATTATTACTACTATCACCATTAATACTGTTACTACTGCCGCTACCCTAAATACTACTACTACGACTGCTATTGACACTGCTACGACTACTACTACTACTACTGCCAGCACTACTATAACTACCAATATAAATACTACTATTACCACTACCAAGGCTAGACGAAGGCGGGCTACCCAGGAAAGGAGGGTTACCCGTTAGCCAAGCTGCAGGCT